TGACGCGTGCCGGGCCAACTTGCGCCATCATGCATTTTTGCAGTGTCTCGTGTTTTTGCAAGATACCTTGGGATCACAATAGCTAGAATTCATGACAATCTGGTCCTCGACCTTCAGAAGGTTAATCGTATCACTACCACGTGCATTTGGAAAAAGAGCATTCTGCTAAAATTTTAATTTCCCAGCATCCTTGGTTCCCGACCTAGCAACTTTCCCGCCAAAAAATTTCGTGCCACCACACTCGAGAACCACGCATACCGGGGGCTGAATTTAAAGTCTCTGGGTTCTAAGTGGACGAGGAAATTCCCTCAAAATTGCAGCTTTCTAGCTTTTCTGGTTGTTGAGTTAGTGAATTTCCTCGCCAAAAACTTTCATGGGGTCGTACCTGAGAACCACGCATACGTGAGGGCTGAATTTGAAACCTTCGAGTTCCATACGGACGGGGAACACAACTGCAAAATTTAGCTTTTTACCTTTTCCGGTACTCGAGTTGGCGATTTCCTTGCCGAAATTTTCATGTGCTCGAACGCGGGGATTAGACGCGGGTGAGGGCTGGAACCGCAGCCCCGGGATGGCGCTTGGCCGAGGAACTCACTGGTAAAATTTTGGCGCCGGAACTTGTTTGACAAGTTAAAATACCCAGACAGACGCACACAAACGCAAATACAAACACGCACACATATACATATACCGGGATCGTCACAAATGTGCGTTTTGCATATGCACATGTGTGAAAAAACATAACTGCAGTTGCACATATGCAAAAACGCGTAATAAGCTCAACAGCCACTTTTACCTGAAGTTACTTTCAAAATGATTTAGTCAATCACTATGTGACAATTATCTTCGTTCATTTCATGTAAAGCTGCGTATTAAATGAACAACTGCGAAAAAAAGAAAGCACCTGCTTCTCGATTTATAAATTGCCCCTGCATGAGACGGTCTATCAGAGGCCATATGCACTCTGAAGGCTGCAACTTCCGTAAATATCGGACTACTGGGACAGAACGGACACTGCAGGCTGAGTGTAGGCACTGCAAATATAATCAATATAAAAATCTTCACAGAATGCTCAAATTAAGCTGGCTGATAATTTAGATATATCTTACAAGCAAAAATTCCAGTTGCTGTTGTCAGCCAATTTCTTTCCCCTCCCCTTCCCCCTCCCCTCCTCTCCCTTACTTCCCCGTCGCTCCCTCTCCTCCCTCTTTTCCGAAACGGCGGCCAAAACATTACTTCCTTTCCTTTCAAGGAAAAACTGGTAAGTTAACAATAAGACTCTAGCTTACCGAAAATAAAGTGATACAGGCAACAGAAGAAGAAACTAAGTCAGAATTTTGCAATGCAAATTTCGGTAGATCGAAACAAATTGAACTTCTTTAAAAGATTAAAGCTTACGAGCTCAAAATATCGGCGAAAAAAAAAACAACCCGGAGAAAGCATACCTTGCTTCTGATTGTGGCGTTCAATCATATGTTTAACGATGAGATTTTCAAATGGAAAGGCACTGCCACACTCCAGACAAAAGAAGATATTTTGTGAATTGTGTCGCAAATTATGCACTCGTGCCGCCGAATGTGTTTCGAACCGAATATCGGCGCACTCAGAGCGGGAGCAGTACAAATTTCCATCAGCATTTCTCATGATATAGTCGCATGTTTTCGCATCCATGTCTTGCTTTACCACATCGACTATACTGAGTACACCGCGACACGTCTGAAACTCAAGTTATCCTGGCAATCGGCATAGCCACGTACATCAAAAATTAGAAAGTCTTTTCTCAGAACCAAAGTCAAAAAAAAACCAATACAAAAAAGTCTTTCCTCAAAACCAAAGTCAAGAAACCAGTGCAAAAAGGAAATCACTTTCCATTAGGGTTAGTTTTACTGGAACTGTAAAAAAAGACAGCAGCACTTTTAGCTCCCTTCTGGCACTACTGTAATAAAAAACAATCAGCAGCAGCAGCCCATCACAAATCTCCGATCAATCGGCCAGCACTACGGACTGGAAATTGTTCACTAAAAACACATACAGTCAAAAAATACTGCTTTTCTTTCAACACAAACAGTTCAGAGAAAATACCCGAAAAGCAGATGATGGTTCCGAAGTGGACGGCACATCACGAGGACTTGATGAGTCACGAAGGCGGGATAGCTGATGCGCAGCACTCGAAGCTTCGGAAGAAATCGGCTGTGGCTGAGACAAACGAGCCATATTCTGGAAAATT